CCCCCGCGAGGTGCTGGGGGGGGGGGAGTCTGAGAACTGGCGAGATGTGAAAAGCTGCCCCCGAAGGAGCGATGGCATCAAAAGGAGAAGCAGCAAATAAATAACTAATTATGTCAGTGTGTAGTAATCCGAGAGACAACTCCAAATTACATAATTCTCCCCAAAGTGACACCGGTGTCCCAGAAAGGCGCGGGGCTGGGGCAGCATCTGCCTGGGGCAGGAGCAGAACCATCCCAGGGGCCGGGAGTGGCCAGGAGCCAGGTTTAGATGCTCTGGAAAGAAGGTGCTCTCAGCCTGGAGCCTGAGGGAGGTTTTTATTTTTTTTTTTTAATTCTCAAAACACCAGGATTTGGTGGAAAGCACTCCCACACGGCCGTGGCGGCTCGGAACGGCTCTCGCTGCCCGTGGGAGGGCTCTGATCCCATCAGCCTTCCCAGGGCTGGGCTGGGACGTGGGGAGAAAGAACCGGAGCGGAGATGGGAGCCCTGAGGGGTGCATCACCAGTCCGGACTGGTCTGTGTACTGGGACGGCCCTGTGCCCACTAGCAAGGATGGAAACCACTGCTCTGCCACCCCGACCTGTGCTGGGTGTAGGCAGCAGCTCCTGGGGGGGCACTGAACCCCCCCCTTCCCCCCTCCCCGGTACTGATGAATCAGTCTGCAGCCTCTCGCTGCGGAGCCTTCGAGCCCTCCGTGAGGAGGAGGAAGAAATCGCCAAGATGAATCATCCCCGCGTTCCCTGGGGGACCCTCAGGGGGGTGGCCGCCGTGCCTGGGGGCTCACAGGGCAGAAATTGGGGCAGACACGTCAGAAATCCCCCAGGACCCTCCCCAGGGTGGCAGGAACCAGCTCCCCACGCTGACCCATCACCAGGGGTGGGGGCAACCCCAGCCCCAGGTGGCACGATGCCCCATGGCACTGGCACAGGGATGGGGACATGCCAGGGGACCCCCCGGCAGAGCCCCACTCCTGGGGGGTGCCCACGCAGATGTCCTGTCTGGGGTCCCACCATGCAGCTCCAGCAGTAGCCCCCCCCC